AAGAAATCGAGTCAAGTTCCCGGCTACGAGGAGAAAATGCCGCCGATTCCGGAGCATTGTGATTTTCTCCTTGATGCAGGTTTCTATCTATTAGGCAAGATGTCTTTTGGAAAAATCTGAAGCTCCATCCGTGATCCCGTAGTTCGGTCGTCCCAGACTCGGATCGTTCGCTTCGAATGCGAGCGAAATCTCGAAATTCTCTAGGAAGAACATCTAGAGTGCAATTACCAATCATTGTTGCGGAGTGCAAATTCATATCAAGCAGCCTGTTCAACGATTCTTTCGACATGAGACTGAAGACACAGTCTGGTAAGTTAACGAGCTCAACATCTTCGGTGGATGTCTCGCGTCTGCCCGGACGAACGAGGGCCGGTCTTCTCGGGACGCTCCGCGAGAGCCTTCCCGAAAGGGTTTCCGACGGGGGCCGCTTGATATCGACTCTCAGGCGCCAAATACGAGATCCCACCTAGACCCTCGTGGATGAATTTCCTCTTCAGGAGGAGGATACCCGGCCGTGCTCGCCGAGTCGGAATCTGTTTCTTGGCGATATCAGACAATCTTAGATATTTGCTAATTCACAATTGATTAGTGCCGAGTAAAAGGTGTCCACGATTCACTGTGAAACCTCGTCTCGATCAACTGGGCATCGAAGTTGCGAAATGTTCGCCTGGCCTCTCCCGACTCGCTCTCGTCAGGTAGCGCGATCGTGTTGTCTGTCCAAGGAGCGCAAACTCTGTTGATGTTGATTACTCACAGAGGAAGATTTTTTCGAGTTGAGCGACACGTGTGGCTTTCAAGTGAATTCTAACATTTTTCTCGCAGCGAAATCCAGGAGCATTTCTCAAGGGGCAAATATAATTCGCTCCCGGGAACCCATGCAAAGGCGTCGATGAAAAAATGTCCGATAATTCGACCTGTATCACCGCTTTCTTCTGTTGAATATCCGCCAAGCTTCGGGGCGTTATTCTGTGCTCGAAGATCATCGGCTTCTTGAATTCGGAGTTTTCACGTAATTTGTGGCGGCGGAATTCCTTTCTTGCTGGATCTAGGAGACTGCGTGGCTCCGCTGGCGTGACCTTTGAGAACGGAGGCCTGAGAGAAGTGAGAAACCTACACCTGCGTTCATTTGAGCAAATTGAACGTCGAACGTGCTGAGCCGAGGAAGGCGAACCCTTTAAAGACACCAGTTTCGAGAAATAATCATCGCGCGTCTACTAGAAAGGCGCATCGGGGTTTCGGTATGAAAGGGGATACACAAGGAATTCCACTTCTTCGGGGAAGCGTGCTCAGTATTGCGTTCTCTCGCCGGAACCGTTCGGGTTTTTCGAAGTTTCCAGAGTGAATTTGCAGAGGGATTGAGGGAACTTGCCCGAGGCAATCTACGAGGGCTCGATCGACCCAGCGACATGGGGGAAGTGGAGTGAATTCTCTCCGGTGAAGAGCTCACTCAAAATCAGCATTACGAGAACGGTCATCTATCGAACATGAATCTAAGTCCTTCGGCACCGTCGGGGATGATTTTTTCAGACTCAATAACTCCGTCTGAATCGTTGGAATTCCGGAATTCCTGGTAGCCTGTTTCATCGAATTCGGACGTGCTGCATGGAAAAAATACTGACAAGCGATGTGTTTTCGGAGCATCCACCGCCTGGGCCAGAAGAGACCGCGATTTCAATTCTTTCTGTCGGAGCCAAATCGCACAAAAGTGAATGCTCGCTGGCTGGTTGGTTGTAGAGTCTTGTGCGTGTGCATCCGTGAAATTCATATCCCCTAGTTGTAAGACCTTCTGCCGGTGGACTGAGTTGCCGGCCGGCCGGCCTGCCCGCAGATGAGAGGATCTTCTCTCAGTGAACAGATCCTAATTGGCCATGAACGACGTCGGCTTTGAATCCTGCCGACTTAGCCGGCGACCAACAGAAACTTTCTTCATCCATTCGCTCGACGTATAGACGGCGTTTGTCCGTTCGTCTGTAGCTCCGGCGAAATTTCACACGATTTTCTTTCGCGATCATCGGCCATCATCAGAGGAAACTTTTGACCTATTACAAGCAGAGCAGCCGACACAGCTTACACGAATTGAGCAGCTGAAATTGATACATTTTGTATATTGTTTTTATCGGTGTTATTATCGAATGTGGATTCCGTCCGACTGAGGATCCTGGCTTCTGACGCTCGATCAAATTGAAGAAGAATTCTCTGCTACGAGGCGATGAGGCTCTCGAGGAGACCAATCGGCTGATCATTCGAGAAACCCTGAACTCATAACACGTGAGTTCAATAGATAATTATCGTCACTCGGAGGTCCTTCAATGGGCGAATAGATTCGTCACCAGGTCTCCCACGGAGCATTCATGGAAATCGATTAGAACACTGTGGCCACACAAATTCGTATGGCGCGGTTGTTAGAGGAGGCGTTGAGCGGATCGAATCGGTGACATGCGACGATGTTGATTTCAAACCTGTTGCTGCGTTCATGTTTAAAACGACGGGACGATCGCTTGGCAAGCGCTTTGAGCGTGACGGAAAATCTTCGTAAGACCGGCTTGAGCTCGGCTTATGACTCGAACAGAACCTCGTCAATCAAAGAATTCGGCTCGGCCGGAGAGCTCTCTCCCCCGGGAGGTGCGAGGCATCTATCACGCAACCCAACAGGGTGATGTATCAATTAGTTAGCGCTCCTCTGTTCCGTAACTTTTCCCGATAAACTCCTAATTGTTCTATGTCTCCGTCCCACTTCTAGGATCTGATATTGACCGGGCGATGTTCGGTACATCTTCGATTCAGATGGGTTGTCGCCCTCGAGTGTCCTTTGCCTGATCGCAGCTGATCCAAAAGCATTTGTGACGAACGATGTGGGGGAACAGAAGATGTACAACAGAAAGAGAGGAAAATCAAGCGGCCGGATGGATGGATCGATCGATCGCTTGCTGGCGGGCTCGATGCAACACAGGCCGTCTCGAGAAGTCCGCGGAGAAGTTCAAAGCCTCTCACTTACATTGTTTGTCCTCATCTAAGCCTAGGGAAGATACGCGTCTTCAATTCGACAGCAACAGAGTCGGCGGCGACTGAGCAGCAAAATTATAGAGAAAGCTCCTGCTACATGAAGCACGATGAGAAGTATCGACAGACGGCCGGCCAGCAGCTCGACCTGTCTTCTCCAGTCACCGTCTGACTGACGCACGAACAAACGGATACTGAGACGACCTGCACACAAGCGACGTTCGGGGCAATGGGAACGGAAACGACCAGAAGACCATGATCAACAAAGCACTCGATAACATGACACCTCGACAGACAGTTTTCGCGATTTCGTTCGAGCGAATGGACTCACGACTTTTCCAGGGAAATTCACGACACGATGAGAATTCGAAAGAGAATCACTTAATGAGTCGGATGTGGTTTTGGAGGTAACACCTGCACTTGTCGCTACAGCGGCGATCTCTGTAACAGCTCGAGTGAGATGGATCCAAAAATAATTTCAGACAAAACACAGCCACACACCTAGTGGCACACCGACACTCGAAAGTCAAGAAGAGCGATTCACTAAAAGAATTTTCCTTTCACTAAGTCACTCAGCGAACCAGACAATTTAGGAAGGAAAAAAGTGCAGCAATTTCGCTGCGCAAAGCCCCATCCGTCATATATCCGTTGCTGCATAAAGGAAAACATGCGTCGTCTGTGGTCCGAGTGAACTAATCATCGTCGTAGTCTCTCGTCTACCCGGTAACGCTAATTATTGTTAAACGTCTCAACGTCGAGTCCGGGCCGATATCGCTGTCCCGCTGCATATCCTCACTTGATTCAGACGTACGCCCCGTCAGATTTCTGACGGGCTCAGATACAACTCTGACTCGCCGGAACTCCGAGTTCATTATTATAATTCGTTTTGGAACTGCGTTGAGTGAGTTTTTTCGTTTCTCGCCTTCCCGATGTTGCTCCATTCAACGCCACGTTTCTACTTGTCGTCAGACTGTTCTCTCATTAAAAACGCGGGGAAGTCGTCGTCCCGTCACGAGATGCCGGCTCCACATGGCGGCGATCCTCAATTTCATTAACACGACTTTAATCCGTTTTAGGAGGCTTCATACTACGGAACCTAATCAGGGCGAGGAAGCCACCGACTGCCTTCCCTAGTGCCAATGTCTCGGGTCTTTCTTCTCGAGAAGAATTCTCTGAGAACCGCGAAAGTCTACGATGCCAAGAGCGTCAACAAGCACAAGCATGGTGAGGTCTGCGGTCGACGATTGACGAAAGCAAGACGAATTGCCCGCTCGAATGGTGCGAGCAAATTATGACGCGGAAACTTGCAGAGGTCCGTGATGGAATATTGAGAAAGTTCGGCGGAGAGTCGGAAGTATGGCCAGCGACGGAATAACCTTTTCCACTGGAGAAAGCAAGAAAAAAATCAGAACCCAAGGCCAGATCGTGGTTGAAGATTATGATCGGACATTTATTATTATTTTCATTATTATTTGGCTTCAGCTTGCAGCTCCACGTTTCTTGCGTTTCTCTTCGAGAAGAATTCTGTACAGATAATATTATTTACATTAATCGTTTCATTGCGACCAGTCAGGTCTCTTGGTTCGTCTATTCGTTCAATTCGTATGCATCCGGCTTTCTATTTGAATGAATAAATAAAGGAAAAATTTGAACTCGATCGGGCAGTGCTCGCCGCATCGGTGTCGAGCGACATCGCTCTCCGGGAATCCGGCTCAAAACCGATCGGTTCAAAACAGCGCGAGGATCACATCCATATAAAGTGGAGGAGTGTGTGTTCGAAACCAGTCATGATCTTCACGAAGGAGGCGATCGTACTGCATATCGGAGAGATCGGAATTGTTCATAAGCTAGGCAATTGAAATTCACGCCTGTGTCTATCATTTCAGCTACTCCAGCGATCGGGGCGGTTCGTACAGAGGAAAACCATCCATCGCTCATCTACCATTAGGGAATCAATGATCTATAATACGTTGCCCTGTACAATTTTATAATACATCTGGTACTCGGAACTACTCATAGGATTCTCCGGCATCGTCGTCGAGACTCTGTCCCTAACACAGAACTCTTTGTGAACCGCTTTCGTTCGAACTAGCTAAGGAGTCTACCTGGAACTTTTTGGGGAGGCTACCGGGGAGGAACATACATCGATTGGTGGGCTAGCTCTAGGACTCGCAGGATTCGAACGACCCTGAGGAGTCCGAGGGGGCATCGGATAGGGGGAGAAGCGGGGAAGGTTCGCTCCGAACGGGGGACTGGATCTCATACTCTGTTGCTGGGTCGCCTGCAGGAGCGCGGCCATTCGCAACGCGTAAATTTGTTGTTGCTGCTGTTGGGCCGCCAGCTCAGCCGAAGCACCCAATGCAGGTGGGGGACCGAACATCGCCATCTGCTGAGCGTAGACGGCCATCTGCTGAAGGTACGCGGCGGGATCCGCCTGCGAGAGCAGTTCAGGGGGCAGCGAAGCGAGGGCAGCGGGATCGGCCATGAGTCGGCCGAAAGGATTGTCACCAAGAAGTGAGTTTACACCGGAGTCCGTGTCGAAATCGGTTAGGCGGGTCGAGTCGCGGAAACCTTTCGCGAAAGGATTCGAATCGATTTTCAGTTTGGTGATCAGCTGGTTCTGGTATGCAGTGACGGCGGTGAATGTCGTCTCGGGGAAAACGAACGTCTTACATTCCTCGTCCTCGACGTTTCCGATAGGACTGTTGGCTGCCGACGCTCTCCGACGAATCAGATGAATACGCGGTTGGTACTTGTGCATCGAGTTCAGTACAATCTAGAAAGAAGAGAAGCTTGGTGAGCTTCGTCGATACGTGCTCGCGTGCGTCGCCTTCATAAAACACCGCGACCAGTGGAAGACTGACAAACACACACTGAGAACTGTTTGCTCGAGCTCGTTTTCGCCTGTTCTAAGTTTCGGCTGCGTGGCGGGCGGAGAGGCGGGCGGACGACCTTAGGTGTGAAAGGTGAGTAACGTCGGCAGGTCTCGCGGGCTTCGATCGAGTGAATCATTTGTGTGTAGTGGCAGTAGAGCCATGACGCTCGACGATTTATGAGGACCAAGTCCAAACGAGAACACTCTCCCGGTGTGGTCTCGGGACCATCGGGGCCACAATGGCCTAGCCACGCCTAGCAGCGCTTGTGATGACTTGCTGCTTGTTTTTTTCCGTAAGCTCTTTCTCGGCTTCAAAAACACTAATAAAACACCGAGCTACAGGTTCAGAGCTCATGTTTCAAGAATCGATCGAGCGAGGGTCGTCCGCCGAGCTATTTCGCGGTGAAATCACCGAGGACAACGCGGAGCGTCCGAGCCCCGGGACCCGCCCGGCTATCAGACGGTCGGACCGGCTGAGATATCATTGAAGTACCTACATGATATTTCATCGATTCAGGTTACGTTGTGCCGGTGGCAGGTACTTACATGACCATGCTTATCCATTTCGTTGTTGGTCAGCTTGACTTTCTCGAAGGAGACGACCTGTTTGCGGAGCTGATCGATTGCGTACGGAGAGTCGGGATGCTGGTATAATCGGTTCGGGGAAGGTGGGTCCGCCTTCCCAGCCACCAGCCAACACGACCTATGATATGCATAACGGTATCGCTTGTTGTCGCATGGGACAATATCGAGCAGCACGTGGAATCGGTGCTCGTTGGATACGGGAAGCTGACTGAAGGAAACACGAACAGTGGGAAACATTCTCCTGAAAACGAAAAGAGGAAACGGTCAGTTCTCCTGCTCGAGCCAGCCATACTTCGTCGAAGTTTGAACCGCGACTGACTACGGAGAGGAATCCAGCTAATACTCGAAGCATTCCCTGCGAAAGTCGTATCTGTGTCCAAGAGTCTCTGTGTAGCCAAGAGGAAGGACTTGGCACGTTGACTTCATTCGCGATTCTGCCACCGCAATTATGTTACGGTCTGAGAGCGCGACGAGGCCTTGTCGTCAGATATCACGCGACTTGACCAGTAATCAATTGTCATTTTGAGTATGAGTGAGTGAAAATGAATGCTGACGACTTCGATTCTAGCGGTTCTCGATTCTCGATTGGGGGAGTCGAGTTTGTCCGTAGAGTGACAGCAAGAGAGCCATGGTGGCACACACGGGATCGAAGGCGGCAGAGGAAGCAAGCGCTTGCTCTGCTTTGTCAGCTCGTCGTCGATGTCGTCGTCTGCTGGGAGGCGACAGTAATAAAACGTTAACCGTTTTCCGTTTCTTTTCCTCTCTTTTTCTTCTTCAAGTAAAGTGATTCAAATCTCAAAGCTGTTGGCTTCCTGCCGCGCGGCGCATCGCACAGTCGCTGCCGTCGACGTCGTTGTAGCTGTTCTTGTTGTTGTTGCTGCTGCTGCTGGCGGCGGCGGCACACCGACTCGCCGACGAAGAATGGCGAGCGAAAGCAACGGCAGCAACAAGTTCCAATCCCATGCTGTGTATGCGACTCGTCGCTCTGCCGTCAACGCGAGCCTACGGCGAGAAAAATAATAATGCAGCAACGCCCTTCTAACATCTTTGACACCATCGGAGCCGAACGTTTTCAACAGAGCCACTCGTTATCCTCAGGATGGTATCTGGGTATGTTCCTGTGATCCTGACGGTCCCCGCCTTTAGATATCCTCTGGGAGCTGGTGCCCGGTCGCGATCGAGGACTTAATTCCTCAATTATTCTGAGTGAATTTTCCTGTGCGAAAACGGAGACACAAACGATATGCAGACAACTTTCAGGGTAGCTGTCGACGGTATCCGCTTAAGGGGTCCAGGAACATCAGTGTTCATTTTCATAAGTTAGGCGCGAATAATGCGCCTTGTGGTCATTCCCGAGAACGCCGAACGTAAAGGAAGCCGTTTTCATGGCAACAACATGTGTGCTTCGCCGCGCATATTTCTCTGATTTGGTTAGGTGACTCCGAGCGGCGAGAAATCGTGTAATGGCCGGACGGTGATGATGACGTTGAAAAGTCTCTCGCGTGAGACGAAAGCCTCGTTGTGCGGTTGCTGTCCTGATACCTCAGTCAGTCAGTATTCAAGTGGGTAGTTCCACTAGTGCCACTTGTGCTCGCTCCTATCGCTTAAAGTTGCTACTACCAAAACCACGCCGGTCAGCAACGATCACGACTGACCGAGTGACAAACCAACGAACGAGCGGGCGAGCGAGCGAGCGGAGCATCAAGTCGACATCCATGAGGCGCGAGCACTGGGCGACATCTTGTTCTGCGTCTCGTCCTGGTCCGGAACTGAATCTATCTCACACGCAAGGGTAACGAGATAAAGAGATAACGACAACGGACAGCCGCTTTTAATCCATCCGCCCGTCCATCTGCCTTGTGAGAATCAACTTGTGATCAAGATAGGTACGGCCGTGGCTATCATAGTACGGAAACTCCGCTCCACTCGGAACTGAGGAACAGTGCTCAGTAATTGACTCGGTGAGATGAAACGATGCATCGACGGGGAAAAAAATTCTGTCGAAAAGATCCTCGTGTCCGTCCGAGGAGGGGGTCCTCCGTTCGGATCGCACTGTTGAAGACCGCGCTCTTCCCGCTAATTTGTCGAAAAGTGCATCCACGCATAACGTTGCAGAGAGAGCGCCCTACGATTGACTATATTGAGCCGTATAGCAGCAATTGAATTTTATGGCACGCTCACGATGCCATCGATCAACGTTTATGTAGTCGGTTCAGAACTCCGCGAACATCCGAATGGACAGCTCGGTAGAGAGCCCGGTTCCGGAGTATTCCTTTCGACGACACCGGTGTCGAGCTGATCTAGTCGATCGCTCCTAATCCGGCACGCTTTGCCAGCGATTGTCGATGCTCTCGACCGCTGCCGCTGATCTTCTAGCGTTTTCGAATGCTGAGATAGACTCCACGGAATCTTCAGCAAAGAATTCCAATCGCTCGGAGGATGGACGGAGGCATTAGCGGACTTGTTCTCCTCGACTTCTCGGAAGTAGCGGTCGCGTTCTTTGTGTGGTGACGCGAGCCTTGGATTCCCGATGCGGCTTCGACTATCGATTCTGATTGACCGAGCGAGCGGTCGCTCGGCCGGCTGGCCGGACAACCTATCGCATGGTCGTTCGGCTGAAACCGAACTTCAAACTTCAAAGCCCGTCGAATTCCCGAGACGTCCGTCAACGTCACTCATGCTTCGTCTGGATTTTTTCCTCGCCCAGTGGGTGACACAAGTCAAGACACAAGTCGCAACAACGGAGAGCGGGAGAGAAAGATCGACTAGTCAATGTCGTTTGGTATATGGCGAGTCGCTTAGCCGGTCGGACACACGGTCGGCCATCATAAACAAATACAACGTGGACACGCTGACACGTCAAGGCTGGATTAAAACGAACGCACGCCAAGCAATGAGTCATCTCGCGGTGTATAAACGTATTTTACGTCTGCTCGTTGTTATCGGGAGCGAATCCATCGGAGCGTATTCGTGGTTTCCGCGCGACGTCACGGATCTCGACGAGTCGTCACTGCAGCCTCGGAGCTGTGACATCCCTCGAAGTGTTTAACATTTTTATTCCTCGAGGATCGAGGAACGTGAAGAAATCCATGAAACATGAAAACTCCGTGATACCAAACGAGGAGCTTAGCTCTGGAGGTGTCATCTGTGATTTCTCGTGTTCGGTCGCTTATCCTTATTTTTCGAAACGACCCACCGTTCAAATCGAAGCATCTGTTGCCGGCGAGAAAAATTTGTCTTCAAAACGGTTGCGTCCAAGAGCTCGGCGAACAAGTTGAGACGGTGACATTCGCGCTCATGTTCACAGCGTATCTGGGCATCTTTCGACGCCGCCACTTGGAGTCCCACTGAGGCTTGCTCCGTAAATCTTTGCTAAACTTATCTTCGCAGTTAGCCGATGTCACGCACACAACAGCTCGAAAGATACGCCGACAGAGTGACAGGCGAGCGAACGGACAAACAGACGAACTTACATACATACGGACTAGTTGAACACCTAGTGCGCTTTTAAGAGCTGTTGTCCGGTCAACTTCAATATTGGAAATTCAACCGTTGATAGCCGCGACAACAGCAGGATAGCGCACAAGGTTTGAAATTCCGGGACGTCGTCGACGAACACGGACAAGGTACGCGGAATGCCTCATGAAAAGCAACGCAGGCTCCGTTAGCTGATTGAAGTCGCAGAGGAGGGGCCGGATGTCGCAACTCGTGTAGTCCTGACTGAACGTCCAGGCCGCCTCCTTCCGAGACCGCTGACTTGGGCGGGAGAACAGGAGTATCGCACCCCTCCCGGAAGACTCCCTGACGTGAACCTCTTTTATCCATCGCTCATGGTAGCGGTTGAACTCGAGCAAAGAGTAATTCACGCGTCCGATCTAGCGGCATTGAGCACAATTAACAACTGAATCCGCCCACCGCAATTAACACTCTTCCACGCAAAGCACGGGTCACGTTGTTGAGCGCAAACAAGGTTTTGCGAGACCGGCTCTTTTCGATCGTACGGTCCGAGGTATGCGGTAGTAGCGCAGGCGGTGACTGTGAGTGAGGTGAGTGTGAGACCGCGCGCGTGTCTGTTGGCGTATAATAAGAGCCATTCATCACGTAACCCCCGTTGCAGCGAAGCCGTCACCTCGGCTGTTGTATCATGGCTAGCTCCCATGATAGATGGGCCATTGAGTTGGAGAGAAACTCAATTTATGACAAAAGCTCGCTCGTTTCCACGCTCCGCCATGGGCCCTTGGGCCGAACCACCCACTACTAGCCCCGACAACCTGCTTTGGAACATCGCTGCTCCGGAGAAAACGATGGCCGGGGACGGTACTGGGATGCGAGATGGAGCTCAGAAACGATTTTCGGCACCGGGTCCTTTCTACGCGAGTCGCAAGCGTTTTCCGCGTCTCTGAAGCAGAACTCCTTCCGCTTGTGAACGTACGTATGTGGGATCGTGGCACGATGAGAGGAATCGGCGAAGCCGATACCTCAGAAGGTCTCCGAGAGTGTGTGAAACAATCATTCCGATACCGATGATCGGTCCCGGGACATTAGGAGTAATTTTGAAATTCAGAGAACGAAATGAAGAAGTCAGCGCTTAAGATGTCTCTACTAAATAGTTTTCGCGTTCGTGAGGTTTCTCTGAAGTGGCTTCAGCCGGCTTTTCGGTGTTGGTCCTCTGCCGACACGAGGACACGCTGCGTTCTTTGAACGAAAGAATGAGAGAGACGGCTGGTCGTGTGCGAATATAGCGTCCAGAGGCCGGAGAAAAATCACCGCGATGAGCGGAAAAAATACTTCCGTGACTTGCCTACCTATGTGTGTCATTTGGAGTCAAATATCAAACCACCAGAAAATGAATACTTGATCCCAACATGTGCAAGTTCCGCGGAACTTTCCGCATGGACTCTCCCAGCGATGAGCTCGGAGAATTGCCGCAGCAAAATTGATATCGGTCAGCCACGTATTGCTATATAGCGGCGCTCGATCAAGACGACTCCAAGGAAATCGATCTGTGAGGGAGATCTCGCTCGCCCTGTTTGAGTCTGCGACAGCGAAGATCGACAGTTCCCACTCCGAGCTTTTCGATTTCTCCAAAAAAAATTGCCGACATCGTGAGCAGGAAATCCAAGAAGGTTGAGAAGGATTATGCACTCCCATATCAGACCATCAAGTCCGCCCGGTTAACACTCCCTGCTTGTTCTCTTCATCAATGCTGTTTTGCCTGATGGCGGCGGCGGTCAGTAACAA